TGGCATATTTTTAACCATCTCCAAAGGCCAGCTCCATCTCTGCTGAGCGTGCCTGATAGCCAGATGTTTCCTAACACTCAGCAAACATGAGCTCACCCCTGGCACATTCTTTGCTCACAGTCACCCCAAAGCTCTTCCCCCATCTCCCCAGCATCCCACAGCTCAAACTCAGAACTCAGGGGCCAGCTGCATAAGAACAGAAGGTGAAGCCTCCAATGCTGAAATTTCCAATTTCCTAATATTTCAGAAACCTAACAAACAGCTGGAAGATATGCAGTACAAAGGATTGGAGCTAGCCAAACTAAGCAACATAAAAAGATGTGCAAACTGGCTGCCCAACAGAATCCAATTAAACTGCAGGCACAGCCACCCAGACCTGATGGAATCATAGAGCTCAGGGCTAAGGGCCCTTGGATGCATCTAGCCAGCACAGAAGACCAAAAGAGCAAGGGCCTCAGAGATGATTACTTTCCCCAGGTTTCACAGCAAGAGAGCATTAGGGACCAAACAAAGCCCCTGACAGACCATAGTCCCACACTGCCAGTTCCCTGTCTCCATACTTTCTACAGTTGAAGGGAAAACCTGAATGTGGTCAATAAGACCTTACATCCCAACCACACCATAATTAGGCAAAGGGATTTGTTAGGGGGGCAGTTACCTTTAAAAAATTAATTAAGCCCTGGGATCCATCCCCACCATGACATAAAAACTAAGTCTAGCTATACATGCTTGCAAGCCCAGCAGTTGGGAATAGAAACAGTCATCCTTGGCAATATAGCAAAATCAAGGCTAGCCTGAGCTGCATGAAACCTGCCAAAAGAGGCTGGGAGAGACCAATGGGAGCATGTCGGATCCTCAGCATGTCTCCCTAGGAACTGGAGAGAGCCCATGGCAAGGTAACTTAGGGATGTCTACATGGCCCTGTTATCATAGCCTGGACTTCTAAAATGCTAACTTATGAGGGCATGTGAGATTTTAAGAATATCCTGCTCAGAGACCCATGGCTATATAGGGATTACTTTTCAAGTGACAACTTGGACCTTGATATCTTAGTAGGAGCCCTAGCTTCAAGGAGAGACCCTGAGGCTTGGAGATATTTGAAAACAGCACCAAGTTCTGTGCTGCTCATGTCATTGAAAAATATTCATAGAGCTTAGGACAGGACTGGCTGGGTGTCCTGCAGGTAGAATGAGGTCAGCACCATAGGATCTCTTGTCATCATAAGTGGAGCCATTAAAGAGCTCTGCACTAGAGAGAAACTGAGCAGCAGACTTACATTCTGGAACAACCTCTCATATCTGCGAGGTGAATTACTGGACTGTGGCCAAGTGCTACACTGTGTAAAGCTAGCCATTGGTCCTTTGAGAATCTTTTTGCACTTATTATTCGTATCCAGGATAATAATAAAAAGAAGGCATTCCTGAGCTGTGCAGAACTAGGCTTTATTCCCACATGATCTGTTGCTGCCTGTGTGGTTTTGAACAAATTGTTTAAATAAGTCTGAGCCTATTTCTCCCTTTCATTTCTCCCCATGGAGGTAATGATGCCTAGCTCATAGGATTTTGAAGTGCTCATGGATGAAGATGATGTATATGCGGGGGGGGGGGGGTAGTATTTCTGATTACCCTCCCATTGTAGTAGAGAATATTACCACATTTTCCTCTTGAACTTTTTTGTGTGTATGGTACTGAGGATTGAGCCTAAGATCTCATGTGTGCTAGGAAAGTACTCTACCACTCAGTTATATCCCCAGGTCTTCTGCCAAAGGGGCTAGAGAGGTGGCTATGTGGTTAAGAGCATTAGCTGCTCTTGCAAAGAACCCAAGTTCAATTCCTAGGACTCCTATGGTAACAACTCACTACCATCTGTAACTCCAGATCTAGGAGATGTAACAACTTCTAACCTCCAGGCATATACATGGTGCACAGACATATGTGCAAGCTAAACACCCATACACACAAACTTAAAAAATAAAAATCTGGCAGAGCATGTGCTACTAGTGTTGTGGGGAAAAAAATGGCATTCTTATTTTGTTAATAAAGAAGGCAAGGTAAACCAAGGTCAAAGCCAGCCTTGGATATGACTCAAACCACCCAGAAACAGCGCTGGGGAGAATTAAACTGAATTGCAAGGGGCCAGTATCATGAGAGAAAGCTTTGGTCACCATAGCAACCTTTTTAACCAAACACTGGAGATCTGCTGGCGTGTACAACACTAATGACATCTGGTCTTTCTATTATTCCCTCACAAGCAAAAAATAAAAGTGAAAAGGGAAAGAAAATGTCCTGTGAACGAATCGTTATGCCAATTATGTGTCTCATGTTTGTGCTGGCGCCTCTAGTCCAGGTTATTAGAACTCTTGGGAGCCACACCACTGTTTGAAGAGCCATTTCTTACTGTAAATTGCCCCAGGGCACATTTGTGCTTAGTCTGTACATTTTCTCAGTAAGATAAGTTTAGATGTATCATCTGTCAGCTGCATGAGCAAAGCACTGTGGGAGGTCCTGCACAAAATGAGTGACAGCAGCTATGTAGCAACAGGATGACAGGAGGGCTACTGAGTGAGGCTGCTTCCATGACCTCCTGTGTATGTCTTATTTATTCCCTGTGCACTAATTTTTATCATAGATGCCATGTGTGGTGTGCAACTCAGCACTAAACCTGGAGTCAGATCTGATGCTACTTCCAGCTGCATCTCTACTACAGGGGAGACCAGTTCTGTCTCCAGCATCTGTTTCCCCATCAGTAGAGGGCAGCACTAGATTCAGCTGTTTCCCAAATGTGGTATATATATAGCACCATTGTTCTAGACCCTTCCCTGAGGGTGATTAAAGGACTCACTGTGCCTATAACTGGCCAGTGTTCTCAAGAGCCCCAGTATGCATCACAGATTTGGACTCCCAGCGTGGGCTCTGTGCAGATGATGGTGGAGGGCCAGGAGCCCCTGAGCCTGCAGACAGAAGAACCTCTGGGGAAAGCTGTGTGCTCAGTTTCTTACAAGAGCAAATGGCCTTCTGGACTAATTGGCTCAGAGGCAACTTTAAGATCTGAAAGTAGAGGGGACTGAACCTCATCTCTAGCAGCCCAGAATCTCCATCTTTAAAGGACCAAGGTTCCAGAAGCCATTTGTGCACGTTAGAGAAGGTAGCTCCATAGATCCTGACTCTGAGTTGTCAGTGTGGGATTTTTATCACAGACAACCATAACATCTTAAAGGAAAAGAGCCCTATACAATGACATTGGAAAATTGTAACAGGGCTTAGCTTCACTCAACTGTAAAAGCTGCCTGGCCAGTGGTGACTTTACAATTGTATTGATGGGAGCGCCCTTAAAGCTAGCCAGAGCTGGGATCTCTGGGAGGGAAAGTGAGAAGATGCCAGCTGGTTGCTGTCATTAGCGGAGCCCCAACAGAGACCCAGTAAAGCTTGGCCTTGGCTTTCATCTTGTGACATGCCCACACAAAGGACCCGGGTGCTGGCACCTGTGTGGGATGTCATAATTCATAAATAGATACAGTCTGGCCCTTTCTTACCCAGACACTTTGTCTAACATGACGTCTTAGAAAAGCATTTCCAGATCATTGCTAATGCTCCCAAAGCCTCTGCTTTTCCCAAGTGGCTTCAGACAATTCCATTCTGATTGTGACTCTCCTGACCTTCCACACAAAGCATCCTGGAAGGTTTCTTCTTGTAGAAAAGCAAAATGTCTCCTTTGTCAGGAAAGGGTAAGCATTTACAGATAAAATGGCAGTGTGCTGGCTGTGATGTGTGCTAAAGACAGTAAATACCCAAAGACAGAAAAATACCCAAGAAAGCAAAGAGGGATGGAGGCCAGTGTTACCCAGGAGGATGGACAAATGACCTGAAAGATGGGACACTTGGAAGAGGAAAGGTTCTCTTGGCCTCCTCATCTCCCATCCCCCACAAGCTTTCGCCTTGTTGATTCATTACAGGCCAAGTGTCAGGATGCCACACACACACACACACACACACACACACACACACACACACACACACACACAAACACCTTGTACCTTAAATTCCACAACCTGGCCCTCCGTGTTCCCCTTCTGGCACTTCCCTGGAGTCTAATTGAGGGGCTGGGGGCTCTCTAGACATGCCTCCACCGAGGCTAGAATTACAGGTTGTGTGTCAGTGTGGAGAGACGTCTAGGCTGTGCTCTGTGCTGGCAGTGAATAAATGAACAGGAAAAGAAAGAGAAGGGCATACTCAGAGGTGACAACCCCCCCCCATGGCCTTCTTTGGAGGGAAGATGATTCTGTGACACATGGTGGAGACAGCCACAGATGCCCATGGACCTTGGAAGCCAAGGCAGGTCAGGAGCACACAAGGTGGCCATGTCCTGGCCTGGCTGGGGGTATGGGGGAGCTTGTCAGGAGACTGCCACAGGGCAAGTGGGGTAGGGAGGCTGGTGAAAGGCAGCAGAGGGCACAGCAGATGAGATTCCTCAGGCTCTGTACTCTTCAGGGTCTGTTTGGGGAGAGGATGCAGAGGTCTCTCAGCCACACATGGAAAAAGCCAGAAGACATGCCCACTTATCAATAAAAGGTCTCTGTTGAATTTCTTACAAAGACAGGTGTGGAGAGTCTGTGATCAGACCCCAAAAAGAGCAGCCTGGTATGAAGGGCCTAGGGATGGGGACTTGTGTCTCAACCTCAGCTTCCTTTCCAGGGAAGGGAATGCTGGTCACACCCTACTGGCAAGGCTAAAAGTAAATGTGACGTTCTCCATAATGCTATGGTCCAGCTGGTGCCAGTCTCTTCCCTCTCCCCACCCAAGAAGGTGAGAGACTGTAAGGGAAATGAGACCCAGTCAGGCCAGGAAGGAAAAAGAATTCAAAGGGACCAGTGGCTAATGTGGTACCGGGTCACCAGGTCAGCAGCAGCCATTGTGTCCCTTGTCCCTCACACATTCTTCCAAGGGCCACTGTGCTCAGCACCTGCCTTGTCCATTAATGGTCCTTCTCTGATTTTCTTCCAGGGGCGCTGCATCAACTTCACCAGAGTGAAGAACACTCAGGCAGCCAAGTACCCACTTAACAACGCCTACCACCCCAGCTCCCCACCTCCTGCTCCTATCTACACACCCCCACCCCCTGCTCCCCACTGTCCTCCCCCAGCCCCCAGTGCCCCCACTCCTCCCATCCCCTCTCCACCATCCACTCTCCCCCCTCCTCCTCAGGCCCCACCCCCCAACAGGGCACCACCTCCCTCCCGACCTCCTCCAAGGCCTTCTGTCTAGAACCCAAAGTCTGTGCTCTGGGCTGCCTGAGAAACTCCAGGAGGAGGTTCCTCTACTGTCAGAAAGATCTTCCCAGCCCAAGGTGGTGAGTGGTGACTGACTCACAGGATTTAAAAGTCGTGATGGGCAGAACAAAATGAAAAATTTGGACTGCCTAAAGACAAACAATGAGACAATTGCAATCATATTTCTAGCCTGTGACCCCTCACCTCTAGAAGAAGGTTCCAGAGATGGCTATACTGCCAAGATGCTCTCAACTAGATCATGTCCCATGGAGACAAGGAAGAAAGTAATTTCCGAGAATGGAATGCAGCATTGGATAAGAAATAACCTGGCTGAGTTCGGAATGCCGCCTTCTCCATGACTTGACTCTCAACAAGGCCATCCTTACCCCTGAGCACCACCCTGCAACAATGAAAAGGTGTGGTGTCCCTAGGATGCATCAAGCAGATATCCAATGGGGATCTGCAGGTTGTCTTACATAAGAACACATGCTTTATTCTCCTTCCCAAACCTCCCAGTTTCCCAGTGAGGAGGGAAGCATCATTTGTGATGGGAAAGGTTGCCATGCTAAGACATTAGTGGAGTTGGTCCTTAGCACTGATGAAAAACACTGATGGGAGCATTCAGCTATTACATCTAGAGCTGGTTGGCTTCAGCCCCTAAACCACCAAGTCATTATCAAAGGCAACCTGCTATTGATTCATCTTAAACATCGAGGTTTGGCTTTGGCATGGATCAGAGCTGATCACATGGCACCTTCCACATAAGATCACAAGGTGCTTTATCAGCGAAGGACCAGAGATTTTGTTTCAGAGTCAGTAGTCCTGCCTTGATAAGAAAACTACTCCCAGTTGATTCACTCTGGAACAGGCTACCATGTGTAGAGACTGGTGTAATTCTCCTTAACCTTCAATCTACTCAAATATCACCAGTTATTTAAAAAGGGAAAATACACCATGTGTGTAACACAGAAGAGCTCTGCCTGAAACTGCCACCCTATCCCTCCACGTCATTCTGAAGGTGCCTGTCAGTGAGCCCTTTAACCTCATATAAAACCTGGATATTGTCACCCATGAAAACAGAGGTCATTGTCAAAGGCAGCACATCCAAAATCATGCTTCCACCCTTAATTTTCCACGGGCTCTGAAATTTCTGTCTCAGGCTCCTAAAACTCTAAACTCTTCCCTGGATCAAAAGATAAAATCAATACAAGTTTTTGTGCTTTGGGCTGCAGTCTACAAAGATCCCTTAAGAACTCAAGTTAGCCTCCTTCTTTCAGCTGGTTTAGAACAGAGGATCAGGTGTGGCACATTCCATACAGACCAATTCTTGTTCCCAAGGCAGACATTATTAATCAGTCTCAGAACTACATATTTTTCCACAGTACTTCAAACCACAGCTCTAATGGCCTATCAGTCATCAGTTAGAACTGACAGAGATAAACACTATTTGCAATCCCTACCTTAGAGAAGCAGAGGAGAATGGGGGAGTCACCAGCATAAAAGGTATTGTCTGGGGGAAATTGACCTGGGAGTGCCTAAGTCCATGACCATGATGTCCCATCTATGGTGTCAACACCAAAGTAACACTTCCAAGTGTACTTCAAACCTCGCCCTTCTCCCTGTTAGTTGCCATTCCCCAGTTTTCAGGATTTATGACAAGTGACCTCCCTCACTCTTACTGTACCCTGTACTGTCTACTTGTAGAACAAAGCTTCTTTACTGTAGTCCCTCATTAAGCAAGGGCCTAAATGTCTCAGCCATTTGTGGTGACATTGCTAGGCCCTAGAAAACCATTCCTAGGAGAATGGGCTCCCCAGGCTCACAGCATGCAGACATTAAGTCCTCCTGGCAACTGTTTTGACTGCTGGCAGTACAAAGCAGGCCACCCCACCTCACTGCTACACAATTGTGCAGCATTAGAAAGTCCAAACTAAGATGCTGGCATTGCTGCTCAACAAAAGTGGGCTCCAGGGAAGGCAGCAGGCTCCCAAGAGGAGGCCACCCTGTGCCCTGTGCAGTTTCCCAAGAGGCCGTGTGAAGTGTCCGAAGAATAAGGAATGTTGACACATGGTTATTCTGAGAAGAATTGCAAGGTTTGACCTTAGAATTGACCCAATATGTCTTCCCTGGTCATTCAGAATTATGGTTAGAAGTTTCTAGAAATTGAACAAGGTTACTACCTTTCATAGGAGGCTACTCTGGGCAGGAAAAGTCTACCTGGCTTAAAGTCCATCAGTTAAGTGTCATTCCCTGTAAGCAGCAGGAGATAGTGGTTGTAATTAGGAAAATGTATGTGTCATTTGTTTGACCCCTTGTTATTGTCTTTATAAAGTTTTTTATATAAAAGCCAAATTTTGTTGTATATATTCATATTCCATATGACAGATGGAAGCACGTCCTATAGGTGTGAATAAAAAGAACAGTTGTAGTAAATTATTAAAGCCAGTGATATTTCATGGCAGGTTACTCTACCAAGCTGTGCTTGTTGATACCCCATGACCAACTGCTTTAATGTACAAATAGTTATTGAACTGACGACGCCCTTGTTTACACAACATCAATAACACCTTGCTGAGAACTACAGTCAGTTCCTGTGCTGACAGCTTGCTCACAAATAGGGTCCCGCCTGGAGCTTGGCACACGCTTCTGTGAGACAGATAAGAGAGGTCTTTCCCCAGCACAGGGGACAAAGCTACCCATAAACTAATGGAATGCTAGCTCTCCAACTAGGGGTGGGGTCTCCCTAGAATCCTTAGGAGGAGCAGAAATGGTCCTCACTTGCCACCTGCACACAATGTGATGGTGGAAAACCCATCAAACAATAATTCAGCAACAGTTCAAGAACAGAAGGAGTTAATGCTGTGTAAAATGGGTGGAATTTGTTTGTAAGCTATATAAAGCCTGTCTGTACTCACCAGGAGGAAGGGAAGGGAACATTCTGGTCAGTTGTCTTAGTTATCTGAGTCTGGCTACATTATCATGCTTGGAGAACCAATTTAAAAGAATTAGAATATGATTTCTGAATGTACGTAACCTTAAACTCTTCTCTTTTTCTATGGTAATTTAGTTATGGATGTTCAGCGTCTCTGGGCTGTTGTATGAAAGCTCTGTCATCGCCATACTGTGCTGTAGGAGACTGGGCTGAACCTGTACAATGGTATACCCTGGAAGTTGCTTTTTTAAAATAATAATAAATACCTAAAACCAGCTCTTTTCCTTGTGATTTGTGTGCTTGTCATAAAAATAAAGTACATGTTTTTTAAGTACTTACCAAGAGGTCATAGGCTAGTGAGATGGCTCAGCTGGTAAAGGCACTTGCTGCCAAGCCTGGCTGACCACCTGAATTCAATCCCCAGAACCCACATGGTAGAAGGAGAGAACCCACTCCTAAAAGTTGTCCTCTGACCTCCATATGCAAACTAAAGCATGCTAGCATCCACATAAATGCAAGCACAGACACAAAATAAATGTAAAATACCTTAAACAAAATAGCTATCACCCTGTACACTGAAATACATCTTTCTTCAAATTAGTTTGTATCTGCTAAATTTTTTTTATTGCTTTCTTTAGCTCTAAGATTCAAGATGGTCTTCATTTCTAGTAAGAATCTTCAAATTTAAAAGTGAATTCTTAGTAAATGAAAAATAAAAACTGAAGACAGAGAAATTCAGACCAAAAAAAAAAAAAAAAAATAGACTGAGGCAGAGACAGGAGGATTGCTGGTAGTTAGTGGCTTGCCTGAGCTCCTGCCTCAAGCAAACACACACACACACACACACACACACACACACACACACACACTGTGTTGGTGTTATGATTTGAGTCTGAAATACACCCCCACGGGCTTCTGTGTTTGAACGCCTGGTACTCCAAGGTTTTGGAGGGCCTCCAAACCTTCAGGGAGGTGGGGCCAGGATGGCAGACATGAGTCACCCAGCAGCATTGAGGGCTAAAGCTGTGGGTTTCTCCATGATAGAAGTCACCAAGTTCCTACCACCGTGGATTCACTCAGCCATGCCCTCCTTGCCATGACAGATGTGACTGAACCCACTTTCTCTCAAGTTGCCCCCTGCAGGTACTTGACCTCATAGGGAAGTAACTAATATAACCAGTGAGTACTTGACCTCGTAGGGAAATTACTAACACAGGCAGTGAAAATGGATTTGGTTGCTGAGGCAGGAAGGCAATAAGTTCTTCTCACAGAGCACCTGGCCAGGAAATGCTGTGATGATTTCATGCCCATCACAGAATCTGTCACTGTCTTTACCCTGTCTCTGCTTGTGGTCCCAGTCATGCTGTTCCCCTAGCTCCCCACCCCCTCAGTGAAGCTGCTTGCATTTAGGGAGATAGTCTTTTTCTAGTTCCATGTTTATTTCTTATAAGACTTCATCAGGCCTAAATTAATCTTAATCAAAATAAGAACATCTGTAAACACGATCAGGCCACCATTTCCCCCCAAGTTTTCATTAATATTCACTTTAAAGTTTTGGGCAATTTATGCATTTTTTAATTGCATCCTTAATACAAAACCTGAGATAATTATCTAGCAATTTGAAAGGAAAACAGGAAAGCTGGAATCCTTTCTTACACCTTACACCAACAATGATTCCAATTGTTTCATACTGGGAAAATGGGGCAGGAGAGATGGTCAGCAGTTAAGAGAACCTGCTGCTCTTCCAGAATATCTGAGTTCAGTTCCTAGCACCCATGACAGGGAATCCAGAAGCATCTATGACTCCAGCTCTAGTGCGATCCAATGCCCTCTTCTGGCCTCTGAGAGCACTGCAGTCACATGCTCGTATACACCCAGATACACACACACACACACACACACACACACACACACAAGCATAAATAAAGGCAATAAAAATAAATCTTTTTTAAATGGAAAAATGTCTTCTGTATGGTATAAATAATTTTAAAATGTTACATTCCACTTGCATGACATGTCAACTTTCTCCTAAAATCACTTCTAGTTCTCACGATACATTGAATTGAATAAGCCAAAGAATCATCAAAACAGGAATGAGATTATGGACCAGCTTCTGACTGTGAACAAGAGCTGCATCCCAGGGGTGCAGATCACTCCATCCCATCTCAACCTGCTTAGTTAATGTTTCATTTGCTGTGGTAAAACACCATGGCTGAAGGCATCTTGGGGAGGAAAGGGTTTATTTCATTTTACACTTCCTCATCAGAGTCCATCATCAAAGGAAGTCAGGACAGGGACCTGGAGGCAGGAACTGAAGCAGAAGCCATGAAGTTCTGCTTGCTGACTTGCTGAGCTTGGCTTGTCACAGCGCTTTCTTATGCCTGTGGTACTGGTGGTACTGGAACCTATATGCTGGGCACTCCCACATCAGTCATTAACCAAGAAAATGCAGTACAGACTTGTCTACAAACAAATCTATGGAAGCACGCACTCTCAGTTGAGATTGCCTCTTGCTTGTGTCAGGTTGACAAGAAAAAATACCCAACACGCTCCTTTGAAGTATTTGTACTCAGTAAGAATACCATAATATATACATTATAATATAAATAATACAAAATACTATACTTTCTGTTGCTATGGTAGAATACCCTGACAAAAAAAGCAATGTGGAATAGAAAGGATTGATTTTGGCTTGTAGTTCTGGGGTCATGTAGTCTATCGTGGTGGGGAAGGGTATGGCAGCAAGAGCATGAGGCAAGCCTGGAAGTGAGGAAGCAGAGAGATCACACTTCCTCTGCACACAGGAAGCAAATGGAGAGAACAGGAAGTGGGGCCTACCAACCCTCAAAGCGTGCTCCAGTAGTGTACTCCCCCCAGCAAGGCTCCAATCCCCAAAGGTTCCAAAACTCCCCCAAGCCAACTAGGGACAAGTGTTCAAACCCATGAATCCATGAGGGACATTTCTCCCTCAAACCACCTGTTATATACAGGCGGGCTTGGCATACACCGAACACGTGGTTTTGATTTTGACGATTGCACTGTGATCATTGGAACTACCACAGCTCATGCAAAAGCTAACCACATCTAAGAAGCCTTGAGCTTCCACCCCATGTGACCTGACACCTCACTTGTCCCCTCAACATTCACATAGCAATAGGATTAGAGGTGCTGTCTTTTCTGCTTGGTAGGACATGCCATTTTAATATTTGGAAGTTGAAATTGCAACATTTCACCATTTTTCGAGTACCACTTCATGGCATTTCTGGTAAAGTAGTGGCAGCGGTCCACGTAGCTTTGCCAGTCAGAAGAGAACTCCAAACAAAGCTCCTTTGAAAGCTGCCCAATTAACTACAGTCAGAACTTCTAACACATCCTTAGTGCAGAATTTATTGTAAACATTAAAATAGGAAGAACTTGTAAAAGGTGTTTTCCCCTCATGTAACCATTTGCATTTTTGCAAAAGATTTTAAAAGCATGGCAATTGTTAGCTGTGTGCTCCACATGTGCAAAAAAAAATGTGCTTTCTTCTAATAAGGAAGGTCATAAAATGAGGGATCTGTCAGTTATCCATGCTTCAGTTCCTCCCAAAACTGTCCACCCTGAGTGAACCACAACCTATTCTGCCCCCTTCTCACTCTTCTAGATGCAAGCATATTGACACCCCCATCTGTGGATGCTATCCCAACTCTGCAGGATTCATAGTTTGCTTAGCTCCATTATTTATAATATTATGGGATACCAGTACATGGTATAAAAGACTGGGAGCTAAAATTATGGCTTCCTGTTCTTGCAGGTTGTCTTCTTCCCTCCAGACAAGAGCTGATGCAAGGAGCAATAGGTCATGTCTAGCATCTTGTCTGGCTCGGTGCTATGATCATATGGTGATTAGAGATAAGGTAGAACTCCCACTTCTGCTGCATTGAAAATTCCAGATGTATTCAAGCTGCTGCAAAAGATTTCTTCTAATTAGCAATAACTGTGTCCATTAGCAAACTGTCCTGTGGATGCAGAGTCTCATCATCTTGCCAACCACATAGGCCCTGCCTCCCAGGAAGGAGCAAGAAAATGGTAGAGAGGAGTTGCCTTGTCTGTGGTTGAAATGGGAATTCAGATGAGGCTGGATCCTGCTGCCTCTATCTGTCCCACAGTTGCAGGACATTGGTGCAGCCCAGTCACCAGCAATTCTACACACAGGGTCTGTCACACGGTTATTGTTCACTTAATATCAGTTAAGCAATTAAACATTTGAAATCTCATTTCCAAGTGTCCAAGAAAATTAGCAATAGATATGAAAGCTACCTCTGGCATCAGACTAGCAATAGATATGAAGGCTACCCCTGGGATAGCCTTTCAGGAATTAAGAGCCACAAGATGTGGTGGCATATGTCTTTAGTTTCAGCAGAGGCAGGGGGATCTCTGCCAGTTCCAGGGCAGCCTGGTCTACAAGGTAAGCTCCAGACTAGCTAGGGCAACATAGTGTCTCAGGAGGAGGAAAATAAACAGCCAGAAAGTACAGTCATAAAAGCATGGGGCCTGGGTTTGGATTCCCAGCACTCACATAAGATCTGGACAATGTGTGCCTGTATTCCGGGTACCAGAGAAACAGAGTTAGAAGGCTCACTGGCCTGCCTATCTAGCTGAATTGGTGGAATATCGGGTTCAATAGGAGATTATGTCTCAGAGAAAAACATGGGTGAGCCAGTGAGATTGCTCAGTGGGTAAAGGTACTTGCCACCAAACTGGGCAGTCTGAGTTTGATTCCTGGGGCCACAAAGTGTAGGAAAAGAAATAACTCCCAAAAGTTGTCTGTCACACACAGGCTCTGGTAAGGCTCACACATGTATCTGTAAAGTAATAATGTAATTTTAAAAATAAGATAGAGTGATCATGGAAGACATCTATGTTGATTTCTGGCCTCTATACAGAGGTACACAATTGTGCATACACATGAGAGAGAGAGAGAGAGAGAGAGAGAGAGAGAGAGAGAGAGAGAGAGAGAGAACCAGAATACAGAGGCAATAAATAAGATCTCAGTTGCCACTTCCCCATTCCCTTCAATCAAATAACCAAATATTCAAAAGTGTGGGTTCTCCCAGAGTGGTACTGAATGGGTCCCTCTGACAATTGATTAACCCTGTCCTCTGTTGGTCACTTCTCAAAGTGTACATACATTCTGTGTCAATTGGGCTCAAGTCTCTTTCTGCTTTTGGCTTGGGAAGGAAAATAAAAACAGATTCCAGAGACTCAGGGTAGATGGTGGCAGAGAATGCCTA